TAAGTAGATGAAAAAGGTATTTTAGTCTTCTTATCTCAAATAGGACCTAATGGAATAGTCAAAAAGAATATGGGTTGGATGGAATAAAGATCTTAGAATGTGGATTTATCAAAAAAGCTCCCTTAAAAAAATTTAAAATACTTTTTAAAATTTATTATCAAATACTTAATTTTTCGAAAGCTCAGGAAGATATCTGTAATTTAACTAAACCTCGAGGAAAGTATATGTAATTTGCCCTAAAATTTATAATCAAACCCTTTTCAAAACTCTATTTTTAAAATTAAAAAAATTCAAAAAAATATTTTTTGTTGTTTTGTTTTTTAAAATATTTTTTTTTTATTTTTTAAAAAAATATATTTTTTTTTATTTTTGAAGAAATGTTTTTAAAAAAATTAAATTTAAAAAATATTTAAATACTTAAAAAATTAAAATATTAAAAAAATATTTGAAAAATAAAATAAAATATTTATAAAAAATATTTTAAAAAAATTATATATGTAAAATAAAAATAATTTTTGAAAAATTCTTAAATATTTAAAATATTTTTAAAAAATACAACGCATAAATATAGTAAATACAACACACATTAAAAAAAACAAATAAATATTTACAATAAAAAATATTTACCCTTAAATAATAAAATTAATTTTAAATATTAAAAAAAAACCCAAAACAATTTCAAAATACAACTTTAAATTCAAAATATTTTTCAAAACTCTTAACCAAATAAATTTTCTTTTTTTAAAACTTATTTAAAAAACTTATCTTCTAAAACACAACTCCACACTCAAATCATGATTCTAAAATTAAACCAAACGGATTAACTTTTTACTTTGTACCCTTCGCTTCTTTGTACCCATACTCAATTGAGTCTCTCCTGTTTTCTCTTTGAATACTGACCTTAATTTCAACTATACTCCTCTTCTTTGAACCTTCACCTCGTCCCATCACCGGCAGCCATTCACCGTTGGTAATTTTCCTTCTGGCAACCTCCACATTGCAAACTCCATCCCTACTAGCGACCTCACTACTTCACCCACCACAACTCCAACTGCCATGCTCCAGCGAGTAATTCTAACCCCTTCCTCAACTTCTATTTGTCCATTCTCTACCTCAATACCACTCTCAACCCATCCCCAACCACCATCGTCACCATCCATCTCCATCCACACCCAACCACATTGCTCTCGTTTTATCTCGTGTCATGATTGTGGCCTGTTTCTACCTCTTTCTTTCGCAATCACAGAAGTTAGTGGCAGTTAGGGTTCGCGATCGAAAAAAGGCAGCATAGAGATAGATTGGGAGGTGGTGCTGAGAGGCCTGTGGGAGGACATATGCAGGAGTGGAGATAGATTGGGACGACGTCGGAAGTAGAGATTGGCAGGGTTGCGAATAGGGATGTCACAATATCAGGGTGATGGGAAAGGTGGATGGCCAGTGTTGGGTGACAAGGAGAGTGAGTGGCGGCTACCAAGTGATAGGGATGGCTAGTGGGATTACGATAAGGATTTGGGAAAATAGGGTTAGAAGGTTAGGGATAAGCGTAAAAATATAATTTTATATTTGGACAAAATTAGAATTAAAATAAAAAAATCAAAGAAATGGCGTCCTAAGAAAAAATGTAAGAGTGAATAACAACACTACATCGAAATACATAAAATCTATAGCAATGAATTACTAGATTGCCCTTACAACTCTCTCTTTTGTCTATTGTAAGAGTCTCTGACCATTTTTTTATTTTTTATTTTTTATTTTTTATATGAATTTGATTTTAAATTGAGGCATCTTTTCATAAATTCTTTTTCTACTAGTATTCTAATAAGTCCAAATCGTTTTATTATGTTTCAATAAGTCTTATAAATGACATACTTACCAAAACACCCTTATTTGAATAGGAGTGTAAGGAGCGACTTAGTCGATTCAAAGACTCTATTCATAATAGGAAAGTTGCATCCCAAATTTCCAAATGTTTGCTAATATTTGAGTTTGACTTCGTCGGTGTGCTATAATCTTTGAAAATAGTCATCTATCTTCTACACCCATCTTTGCATCATTCTGTCTTTGATGTTCCGTCCTCGGTGACCAAAACACTATTGCTACGATCATTCACATTAACTTTGTTGGTCATTCTGTGTAGTTGGAAATGGGTACCAAACATAGTCAATTGGTATTTTTTTTTTTTTACCCTAGTTGTCAAATTTGTAATGACTTACCAATACCAAATGTAAAATATCATATTGTGAATGGTTGTATGGTTTTTATTTTGAAATCCTCAATTTCGATTGTGAAAACATGAAATAACATAGGTGAAATTTTGATGAAGTATGAATGTGTAGCAATGTGAAACACATAACATCTGTTTCCTTGTACAATATTTTAAGTTGTTGTTCTTCACATCGTATGATATTTGGGTTTTGATTACATCTTTTTTTGCATGTTCTCATTGTGTTAATCATGATTTTTCAAATATTCATATTGTACATTGTGTGAGTGATTTTCCGATCACACTGCCCAACTCAGTATTCAGCTGGAGAGAACTGGCAGAATAGATGACACCTAGCTGACCTACAACAGAAAGAGAAGATTCCAGCGGTGGTTGGTCCACCCGGGGGCACTCCGACGATCAAGTCAGTATATCTCTCAAAGATAATCAATAGTGCTAAACTTTACTATTCAGAATATAAATTGCGTACCTTAGATCTATGGGGGTGCCTCTCTTTTATAATTAACTCAATCATTGTCCCACTAGAAGCCTAGCTTCAATGGACTCTTGCTCAGTGCTTATCCTGGACTCTTCAAGAGATAAAGATAAACTCCCTAAAAGTTTTATCCTTATCCATGCCAAAGTCCTTCGTCATTCTAGGACTCTTGTCCCTTATCCGTTTATCTCCGATTCCGATATCTTCGGAGATTACCTCGGCGTTGCCGAGATCACCTCAGCGTCATGACCCCGGACACGTGGCACCTCGGCTGACACGTCGGCATCACCTTGGCCACGTGTTGGTATTCAGAAAATATATCCCCACAACTGCCCCTAGGTTCTATTACCTCGACATTCTGAGGTGATGGAACCTATATCGGTACTTCCTGCTAGTATATCGGCGTAAGCCGAGATTATCACTTTAGGCCGACATGTCTTCTTAAAGATTAAGATTTCAAAGAACTTCTTCACGTGCATGAGCTGTCATGCATAACAACTCAACCATTTCTAACCACGTACTTTCCTCTTACTGGATCGTGCTTTTGACGTGCTTCTAAATCGTCTCGCGCATGCGTGCGCCGTCTGATCCTCACATTTTTTTAGGCGCATTAATTCCGTCTGCCGCCGTTTCAAGTTTTAACAAAAACTTTTTCCCTCTCTTCGTTGTTTCACTGTTTGTTCAATCCTCTAGCTCTTTCTCTCTCTAGCTCTCTTCCTCTGGTTTGCCATTACACAAGCTTTCTGAGATCTGTGACTTTGCTTCATTTACCACCTCCAACGTGATTTCCACCGATCTTCCGTCTCTGCAACCGTCGTCAAACTTCGGCAAATCCCATTTCGGCTTCCCTCTTTCTGGTAAGCCACTGTTCCTCTTGGTTCTTTATTTCTTGTTGTTTTTTCATGAAATTTTACTTTATCATTAGTCGTCATTGTTGTTTTACTCAAACATTTAATTTATGAATCATGCATCTGAATATGTTTATTTCACGATTTTGCCCTTGCTCATGTCTTGAAAGCACACACTGCTCACAATTTTTCTGCATTTTTGCAACTGTTCTTGACCTTGTACCCTTTCACACACTCTGTCACAGTGTTCTTGGTAGTTCACCCTTGTTCTTGATTCTGAAACACGTTCTTATTTTCTATTTTCTGTGTCTTTTCCATATTTCTGCCTCCAACCTTGCTTCCATAGAGTGAGGTTTTGGGATTTGCTTGTAGAACCCACAAGTTTTTAGGAAAAACTAAAACGAACTCCTTTTAGATCCATACAAACCCTTACCACAGTACATTTTTAGGTTTTTAGCCGAGGTCATTTAAACCCTTTTAAAGCACCTTTATTCTGAAATCCTATTCCTCCTAGCTTAGGCCGATATCATGGGTATGTGGAAACATAAGATAGACACCCCGACAAAATTAGAATACTTTAGGCGAGAGTTTTCCATTCCTGCCGACGTCCATCTGAGGTTGGCTTGACCCTTTCTTCCGTGAAATCCTTTATTTCTATAGGTTGAACCCAATGTAACACTACAAGAAATGTCACTTTTTGCTACCAAAATATTGGTCGGCAAAAGTCACTTATTTAGTTGCCGAAAGTGTTTAGCTACCAAAATTTTTTGTCGCTAAGCTCGTCGCCTTTACCCTGTCGGCGATAGTATTGGCGACTAAAATTTGTTTGGTCGCCGAAAGTGTACACATTTGGCTACTAATCTTTGTTTAGTCGGCAAAAGGTATGTTTCCGCCACTAAAGTATTAGTCACCGAATGAGGCTGTTTGGCTACTAACTTGTTGTGGTCGGGGAAGGTATCACTTTTAGCTACTAAATAATTGGTCGCCGAAAGTACACATTTGGCTACTAATCTTAGTTTAGTCGGCAAAAGGTATGTTTCCGCCACTAAAGTATTAGTCACCAATAGTTTCTTTCTTTCATTCTCAAATCTTTTAGCTACTAATTATTTGGTGGCAAAAACGTTTTGGGTTATGTTTTTGCTACTAATTATTAGTAGCCAAAACTTTTAATTACCTATTTGGCTACCAAAACATTTGGTAGCCAAATGCTTTAACGTGCTTTTTTTTTTCGATTTTTTTTTTCTAAACAACCTTTATCCATTATTAATACAACCTGTACCCTGTATAGACAATATAATCCATCAACGCTAAATATATTATCAAACATTCAACCACGTGCACACATTTCAGTTCCAACCATCCAAATAATTAATATTGAACGTCCAATTATATATATATATATATATATATTACAAATTCCATAAGAACCAAGTCTAATCCAACGTCAATAATTTCATTTCATACATAATACAGGAAAATTCTCCACATACTTGGATACCTCAGATGCCGATATATCTATGCATATGTTAGATGTTACAAGAGCAATTAACATATTTCCACATCTTATTTTATACAGGAAACCGAAAACCAGTAAATTTAATAATGTTACATTAATAAATACTCACGAGGTAGTATAGTTTTTTGAAGTTGTGCTTCATACTCAACCCCAACAACAGGCTCACTGCGGAGAAAATGCTCGGAAATTTTTAAAAAGAAGTGTAAATTGCTGCCAGATTTCGTAAAAACTGATTAAAAAAATATAAAATCAATAATTCGTATATACTTGTAAATATTCATCCCTCAGGCTGGTTGATTGCATTTGATCACGTTCCAAATAGGCAGATTCAATCTCTGACATTAGCAAAGCTCGAGCAACAGAAATTTCACGTTCAGAAAATCCATGCAGCCGAACCCTAGCAACCTGAAATGCAGGGCATTAATAAAACAAAGGAAAAGCAAGTAGATCCCTACATCAATATTAAATACACACCTCAGTAAGAATTGATTTTAGGGCCTCAATAGTCCCTTTCTCTTTACAAGATGAAGTCATTATATAGGCTTTCACTGGACGAACTAGGACATCAGCAGCAGCAGAGCATGAAAAATATGGACACTCAAAGAGTACAGAGAACATCTCAAATTTTGAGAAGCAGAAACATCTCAAATTTCAAAACATATCAGACGTGTCTACAAGAGTTCAAGAAATTTGGGATACGTATTTTTTAGTTCAAAATAGATGCAGGTATATATAATGTGTATATATCTAATGTATGGATATTTTTAGGAAATGTTGATCAATCTCTGCAAGTATTCAAAGATTATTGGAACCTTTTTTCAATCGGCGCCGAGTATTGGAACCTGATACAAATATGATTTGTAAACTGCATGCTATGAGAACTTCAATCATTGCCCTAAAGAGGTAAATTATGTGAGTATTGTATATGATTTGATAAAAGTTGGAACCCCATATGCCTTGGGGAAGTCATTGAGACTAATACAAATTCTTTGACAATCATAAGAATATTGACAACCTCGAGTTAAAAACAAAGACAAAACAGGATAACAATATCCATGGTTGCAAGTAATTATGGGCATTGATAGGAACCTTTCTGTAACCTAATTTATCAGATCCCCCTCTAGTCTTATTTGAGGGAAGAGGGAGTGAGGTCTGTGTGTGTGGCTTGGTTAGAGTGAATTGCTTCAAAAATCATACTTAAACATAGTTCTTCGAATAGAGACCAACTAAGAAGTTGAAATCTACAAATAAAAAACATTCGGGAAGTTATAAACTATGTGGGAAAAATGAACCAATTAACAAAACCAGCTTCAGAGCATCTGTTAGACAACTTCCTAACTTCCAGCTTTTCTGGGCATATTCCGTTGCCAAGAAAAAACAATATTTTTTTACTGCTTATGAGGGACAAAAATAACATACATTATAACGTTGTGCCAACCTAGCTTTCATAAATTTATGAAGTTAAAGTCTAACAAGGTTTCTTTCCCCTTGCAGGACATGATAACAAGGTTAGACATCTTTTCTTTTCTTTTCTTTTCTGCTGAGTAAGGTTAGACATCAACATAGAAAAATTAAATTTAAGAGAAATTCCCTTAAAAAATATATATATCAAATTCAATGTGAGAATAAACTGTGCAATGATGCATATTGAAATGGTAGCTTAAGGTGCTTGCAAGTAAGCAAAAAATAAAATAAAAATGAAATGGCTATATAACACAGAAATAATGCATAATTCTGGTTCCAAGCCCAAGATTAAAGAAAGTGGAAAAAAATTAAGGAAAACCTGAACAGATGCAAATGAACTACAAATAATAATAATAACAATAATTGACTAACCATGAAAGAGATTATACAAAGAAATTCAAAATAACTATACCATTGCCATGACCCATGAGCATAACAATTCAGCGAAGTAAATACATTTCAAAATAATGCAAATAACCATGGAGGCATAGCAACATAATGACAATCATAAATGCAAAAAATCCAAGAATATATGGAAACCTAAAAGCAGACTCTAAAAACATTAATTAAAACAAAAGACCAAGTTTGAAGCCATGCTCTCTCTCTCTCTCTCTCTCTCTCTCTCAATTAATCTATAACTAAGCTTGTTTAGTGTCCCAAATATTTGACATGATCTAATGGACTGACTCTAGTCTGGAAGGTTTGATGTCAAATCATACTAACTGTAATACCCCTGTTCTGTAGTATGCTAATTGGTCCCTAATACGTATGTGACTATATGTTTTGATATGATTTTTGTGTGCCATTATGTGAATATATGCGATTTTGGAATAGTGGGGTTTGATGTAAAAGGGCACTACACCCTCAATTCCTTCCCTTATGTGGCTTTGGCTGATTAAACTCTCTAGAGAGAGTGAGAGACCCGAAATTGAGAGAGAAAGGGGGAAATCATCTAAGTTTGCTCTTGAAGCTTTGGAGGCTTGAAGGCTAGCTCAAGAATTAACCATAGATTGTGAGGATCAAGCTCCTAGGTGAGTGATTCTTGGATTATAATTGTAATTTTGTGCATGTCCAAGCTATCTTGATGATCAAGAACAAGATTGTAATGAAGTTGAGTTGTGTTGTTGAATTGAAGCTTAATATGTGCATGCATGTAAGAAATACTTCGAAATTTGCATGTTTGAGCACAAATGTGTATAACCCATGTGAAATATTAAAGGAAACTCATGTCTTGGTCACCATTTGTGCTATCTAAGTTGAGAATATGGCTAATCCATCACATGCATGTACAAATTGAGAAGATATGAGCTTTGAATGCATGAAATGGTTACATTGGTAATGAGTTGGTGGAAAATGAGCCGTGCATGTAAATAAATTATGAAATTGAGCTTCAATATGTTGTAATTCTATGTTTGTACCATGTTAATACAAGATTATGTGAAGTTTGGGCCGAAATCATGCATTTAGAGCCTTTGAATGTCGAGATGAAGCTCAAGAACTCAATCTGGAAAACCCAGATTTTTGATGTCCGCTCGAGCGGGTTGAGTGACGCTCGAGCGGAGAAATCGAGCTCCCAGCATTTTCTGCAGACACGGTTCCCGCTCGAGCGGAGAAGTTGACGCTCGAGCGGGGAGCTATGTAGACAGGCAGTCCGCTCGAGCGGCCGAGTTCACGCTCGAGCTGGAATTGAAGGCAACCAGTACTTTCGCAGACCTAAGGGTCCGGTCGAGCGGGGAAGTCCACGCTCGAGCGGGGACCCTATTTTCTGAAATCCTGTTTTTGTATTTTGTGTTCTGTTTTCCGTTCTCTTTCACTTGCAAGCACTCTTAGGCATATGTTAAGTATTGTAAATGAGTTAATGAGATGATAATAAAGCCTAAAGAGGAATATGTGAATTAAAGAACGGATTGAACTGTTAATGACCCTTTTGTGTTCATGAAACGTGTAGGGTCAAGCCCCAGGGCAAATCCACAAGCCGATCACTGTGAGTAATATCAATATTTGAAAACTTGTCAATGTCCAATTGTTTATTTCCTTATAAACTTTATGAGTTGTTAATTGGGATTGTGGACAAAGGTCTGACATGAATGAATAAATGGACCGGGCCAAAGGCTGTTTTGACATGAATGAGTGGGCCAAAGGCCGTTCTGAAATGAATGAGTGGGCCAAAGGCCGTTTTGAAATGAATGAGTGGGCCAAAGGCCGTTTTGAAATGAATAAATGGGCCAAAGGCCGTTTTGAAATGAATGAGTGGGCCAAAGGCCGTTTGGAAATGAATGAGTGGGCCAAAGGCCGTTCTGAAGTGAATGAGTGGGCCAAAGGCCGTTTTGAAATGAATGAGTGGGCTAAAGGCCGTTTTGAAATGAATGAGTGGGCCAAAGGCCGCTTTGAAATGAATAAGTGGACCGAAGGTCGTTTGACATATATGAATGGACCTAAGGTCGTTTTGACACGAATGTATGGGCCGAAGGCCGTTTTGACGTAAACGAATGGGCCGAAGGCCATTTTGACATAAATGAACGGGCCGAAGGCCATTTTGACATAAATGAACGGGCCGAAGGCCGTTTTGACATAAATGAATGGGCCGAAGGCCGTTTTGACATGAATGGAAATTTAAATGGGCCAAGGGCCAGAATGTTTAGAACTACAGTCACTTGGTTTGAATTTCGTATAGTTATATATCTGTTAAATAGAAATAGGAATTGGGCCTAAGGCCGTTTGGAACGTGTTGTGCTACATTGTTATGTAACTTCTGTATTTGATCTGATATTATTCACTAGGCTTTCGCTCACGCTCATTCATGTGTTTGTAGGTGAGCCAAGAGAAGTCTAGACCCAGCCTCAGAGAAGTCTGTATGGAACCACTATGGTTTTGAGAGAGTCAGCCCTTGTGTCTCACGCATGAGACCCGCCTTCGCCTTTTGTTGTGTATTTGCATTTTGTCAGGTTGATGAAGTTTTGTATATGTCTGCTTATAGTTTTATGGGTTGACTTAGTTTTGGATGATCCTGTCGGTACAGAACCTATATCACTATGTTTCTGTTGTGAGTTATTAACGTACATATGTATGGTTTGTTTTGATGTGCCATGTAAGCACAGCTCTATGGACAAAGTTTTAAATTTTGCTTCCCTTTTGGCCCCTTTACTCTGATGTGATAAGTCCGTTTTGGTTTGAGGCCGTAGGTAATCTGAGGATTGCTGGCCGGTTACGTCCTTAACCCATGGGGGCGGGTTCGGGTCGTGACACTAACACTATGTAAAGTTGATTTGCAATTAAGATGAATTCTTCTTTGAGGCATTTCATCAAACACCCTGTCCACCAAGGTTATTATATAAGAGCAACACAATATATATACACAATAACACAGAAACAATGTGAGACTTCAATTCACACATCCACGATTTCGCATACAATTTGATCAGATTGTTGAAGAAGAAGAAGAAGCCATATACACAGAAACCCCATAAAATCATTATTATTAAGATTGCTTTACAGGAAACTCACCAAGGAGTAGTGGGCAATGTCAATCTGTCAATGCATGATAGCATATCAAATTAGGCGAAAGTGTATATAAGAAAACATCACTAATCAAAATATAAACCAATTAGTGTGGGGTTTTTTTTACAGTAACGAAAAGCACACATATAAACAACCTTGACAACAAAAATTGAATACCCATGTTTCTGAAATCCAATCCACATAGGGAAGGTAGAAAACTATTTGAAAAACCAAACCCATTTCAGAAACCAACACGAAATTAAACTGAATCAAGAATATAAAACCCTAGAGCAACAATCAGAAAGGGGGGAAATAGAGGAAGGGAGACAGAGACACAGCTCGATCGAAAGAGAGAGCAAGCGCGCAGAGAGAGAGAGAGAGAGAGAGAGAGAGAGAGAGAGAGAGAGAACCTGTGCTCTGCAGCAATGGTGATGGCGATGGCGATCTGCAGAGGTGGCGGTGGCGGTGGTGGCGGCGATCTGCGGCAGTGGCTGTTGCCATCTGAGGGCGGTGGCGGTGGTCTGTGGTCATGTGAAGTAGGGTGAGGTTTGGTGTGGTGAAGGAGAATAAACAGAGAATAGGAGCGAATGTTATATATATTTATATATATTACACCATTAGCGACTAAAAATTAATTTTTCAAATCCCTCCAAAAT